GAATGGAAAACAGGGTGCAACCATAAAGTGTCGATCCATATATAAAAAGTGTCGATCCCAAAAGTATAATGTAATATGTAATTTTTCAATCTAACCGGTACAAGTTTACCGGTTTTATGAGAGAATATGTCTAAATAATGTGTCGACACTAATTTAGTTTGTGTCGATATTTTTGTTCCAGAATGAATGGAAAACAGGGTGCACCCATAAAGTGTCGATCCATATATAAAAAGTGTCGATCCCAAAAACATCGAAAACCAAAAGTATAATGTAATATGTAATTTTTCAATCTAACCGGTACAAGTTTACCGGTTTTATGAGAGAATATGTCTAAATAATGTGTCGATATTTTTGTTCCAGAATGAATGGAAAACAGGGTGCAACCATAAAGTGTCGATCCATATATAAAAAGTGTCGATCCCAAAATCATCGAACCCAAAAGTATAATGTAATATGTAATTTTTCAATCTAACCGGTACACTTTTACCGATTTTATGAGAGAATATGTCTAAATAATATGTCGACACTAATTTAGTTTGTGTCGATATTTTTGTTACAGAATGAATGGAAAACAGGGTGCAACCATAAAGTGTCGATCCATATATAAAAAGTGTCGATCCCAAAATCAACGAACCCAAAAGTATAATGTAATATGTAATTTTTCAATCTAACCGGTACAAGTTTACCGGTTTTATGAGAGAATATGTCTAAATAATGTGTCGACACTAATTTAGTTTGTGTCGATATTTTTGTTCCAGAATGAATGGAAAACAGGGTGCACCCATAAAGTGTCGATCCATATATAAAAGTGTCGATCCCAAAAACATCGAAAACCAAAAGTATAATGTAATATGTAATTTTTCAATCTAACCGGTACAAATTTACCGGTTTTATGAGAGAATATGTCTAAATAATGTGTCGACACTAATTTAGTTTGTGTCGATATTTTTGTTCCATAATGAATGGAAAACAGGGCGCAACCATAAAGTGTCGATCCATATATAAAAAGTGTCGATCCCAAAATCATCGAACCCAAAAGTATAATGTAATATGTAATTTTTCAATCTAACCGGTACAAGTTTACCGGTTTTATGAGAGAATATGTCTAAATAATGTGTCGACACTAATTTAGTTTGTGTCGATATTTTTGTTCCATAATGAATGGAAAACAGGGTGCAACCATAAAGTGTCGATCCATATATAAAAAATGTCGATCCCAAAATCATCGAACCCAAAAGTATAATGTAATATTTAATTTTTCAATCTAACCGGTACAATTTTACCGGTTTTATGAGAGAATATGTCTAAATAATGTGTCGACACTAATTTAATTTGTGTCGATATTTTTGTTCCAGAATGAATGGAAAACAGGGTGCAACCATAAAGTGTCGATCCATATATAAAAAGTGTCGATCCCAAAATCATCGAACCCAAAAGTATATGATTCCTACATATTTATGTTCGACTGTTTGTGAACATGATCAAAAAAATGCAAAACATACGATTCTGTTACCTACTGTAAAGATCTCAATGATGTTTGGAACGCGTGTCCAGATTTTAACGAGCTAAATACACTTTTGGTCGATGATTCAGCGGAAAAAAATGATTTATAATCCGGTAAGTTGCATTTATGCAATATGTTTTTCCAGTTGAACAGGTGTTCAGACATTGATTATTTTAACAACTTATGTATTTATATAGAAATACAATTACATATGTCCACATACCTTTGACGCTGTTTCCCATTCGAACGACAAAGCTCTAGGTATGACACAAATTTATTCATGCTTATGCGAATTTAATTTATTGTTAGTAAAATTGCACCTCATTAGTTTGATAATTGAAATTATTTATGTATGTCCTCAGAAAAAGGCGGAAACATACGAGAGTATTTGGAAAATTTGTTGAAGGCCTCTAATGTTCCGGACTTCGTTAGAAACAACCCTTTTTCATCGGATTAATTTTGTTTGTCGGTACATTATTTGAACATTCTTGTGTATTTATATTTTGGTGTGATTATATTTTGAGTGAGTTTTAAGATATTAATTTAGTAATTATAGGCGTCTAATGATTTATTTTTTATGTTACGATATATATTATTATTAAATTAAAAATTCTTAATATTATTTTATAAAATATCAAAACAATCAACTAATTTTTTGTGCAAATGAAATTATTAAATTAATATTGTAGGTGGAAAACATGAAACATACTTAAAAAAAATTGAAACATAAATTACATATCTTTAAAAAAAGTATCGATCCTTTTTATAAAAAGTATGGACACTTTCAACATATTATAATAAAATAGGTAAATTTGCAATGCTATCGGTATAAATATACCGGTTTTATGCGCGAATAGGTCTACAACCTATATCGACACTTTTTAATCTTGTGTCGGTACTTTATGTCCATATTGGAAGAAAAATGTGTCAATACGATTTAAAAAAGTATCGACATTTACACATCGGAACCCAGATTTATAATGTAATAGATAATTTTGTAATATAACCGGTATAAATATACCGGTTTTATGAGCGAATAGGTCTACAACCTATATCGACACTTTATAATATTGTGTCGGTACTTTATGTCCAGATTGGAAGAAAAATGTGTCGATACCATTTAAAAAGTGTCGGTAATTTTAAGTAACGCGGTTTTTGTTCCTTCATTCAAAATATTTATATGTACATACAATAGGAGTCATGTTGATACTTACGATATATTATATGGAGATCGTTGTCATTCCATTCCGTCTTCGAAAAAATCAGTTGATGTAGGCTGTGTGCTTGTACTCAAACTGAGTTTGACTTGAGGACATGTTAGTTTGTTATGCCCCTCACCGTTGCAGTACCCACATTGCCTAATTTTCTTCTCGACCTTGTTCTTCGGCACTTCTTTTCGCTTGCGTTGTTTTCGTTGAGGGTCACGAACATTGTTTACTACAATGCTCTGGTTGACTGAATGATTCAAACCAAACGAGTTTTCTAATTCTTCTATTAGTTTTTTCATCTCATCTCTTGCGGTTTTGAAAGACTCGTCTGTCTTTGATGCAATGTAGCATAACCTACTTGACGTTGAACGTAGAGCAGCGAACCTTGCCATTTGCATCACTTCTGGAGACACATTCAAATCAACATAGCTGGGTGCAGAAGCCTTCGCATCATTAGTCCACCTACTTTGAATCAAAGTCCCGGGCAAATATGTGTAGTCCAATTGCTTCAAAATGTGAAGTTGATGGCGACACGGAAGTCCAACGGTCTCGAATTTTTTGCAGGAGCAAATTTGACCGGTTTTGTCATAATGAATTTGGTTTTGTCATATTTTTACATGTTATATTGTAAAGTATCTATCCTTTTTATAAAAGTATCCATACTTATTTCACTGTGAAAATATATTTATTATTATCTTTGGTTAATATTGTTAAATTTAAATTCTAAATAATATTTTATAAAATATCAAAAAATCAAATAATTTTTTGTGCAAATGAAATCATTAAATTAATATTGTAGGTGGAAAACATGAAACACTGTTAAAAAAAATTAAAACATAAATTACATAACTTTAAAAGAAGTATCGATCATTTTTATAAAAAGTATGGACACTTTCAATATAATAGGTAAAAATATGATGTAATAGGTAGCGCTTATATAATGTAATAGATATCGTTTATATAATGTAATAGGTAGTGGTTATATTGTAAAATGTCTATCCTTTTTATAAAAGTGTCCATACTTTTTTCACTGTGGAAAACATTAATTTAAGGTTATCTTTTGAGTGAGTTTTAAGATATTAATTTAGTAATTATAGGCGTCTAATGATTTATTTTTTACGTTACGATATATATTATTATTAAATTAAAAATTCTAAATAATATTTTATAAAATATCAAATAATCAAATAATTTTTTGTGCAAATGAAATTATTAAATTAATATTGTAGGTGGAAAACATGAAACACTATTATAAAAAATTGAAACATAAATTACATAACTTTAAAAGAAGTATCGATCCTTTTTATAAAAAGTATGGACACTTTCAATATAATAGGTAAAAATATGATGTAATAGGTAGCGCTTATATAATGTAATAGGTATCGTTTATATAATGTAATAGGTAGTAGTTATATTATAAAGTGTCTATCCTTTTTATAAAAGTGTCCATACTTTTTTCACTGTGGAAAACATTAATTTAAGGTTATCTTTTGAGTGAGTTTTAAGATATTAATTTAGTAATTATAGGCGTCTAATGATTTATTTTTTACGTTACGATATATATTATTATTAAATTAAAAATTCTAAATAATATTTTATAAAATATCAAAAAAATCAAATAATTTTTTGTGCAAATGAAATTATTAAATTAATATTGTAGGTGGAAAACATGAAACACTATTAAAAAAAATTGAAACATAAATTACATAACTTTAAAAGAAATATCGATCCTTTTTATAAAAAGTATGGACACTTTCAATATAATATAATGTAATAGGTAAATTTGTAATACTATCGGTATAAATATACCGATTTACTTATAAAATAGGTAAATATAAGCGCTATCTATTACATTATATAAGCGCTACCTAGTATGTTATTGTACTTTATAATATTTCCGGTTAAATAATATAACATAATCGGTATAAATTTTAACCGATCAATTGTTTAACCGATCACGCCGTATATTAACCGTTTTTTAAGCGCCGCACCGCAGAACTACCCGGAAGTAAGAGTCCAGAAATTTCTTTGAAACTTCATGGTGCGCTGAATACTATATGCAATTATCTCCAACTTCCACTATGAACTATAAAATTGTAAAGCATCCATGCCATGTGATGTTATTCTTTAATTTCCATGCACACACATCCATAAATAAAATAAGTAAAGTGAGAAAGAAAAATATTTAAAACTTGATCCACTTAACCCAATCTACATCAAAGAAATTAACAATCCAAATGGGTTTTCATCTAGGGTTCTACTTCATCCTCCTAATCTTTTTATGCTCAATGTTAAAGTCAGCAGAATCTCAAGAAGCTAATTGCGGGGAAGAAGTCTGTGGAAATGTTACAATTCCATTCCCATTTGGAATCCATAGAAGCTGCTATAGACGTTCCTGGTTTATTATAAGTTGCAAACGAACCCACAATGGGGAAAAGCCTTTCATATGCATAAATGGCGTGGATCTGGAGGTACTTGGTTCCTTGTTCTCACCAGACACCATTCTAATAAAAAAACCAGTAACTTTCGTTAACTGTGATCATAAAAAGGAAGCTACTGTCAGTGTCAATCTGACGGGCACTCCATTCTTTTTCTCGACGGACTACAACATGTTCGGGTCCGTGGGTTGCGGGAATCTGGCTACTATTTTCGGTAATGATGGTGAACCCCTTGGCGGCTGCATTCAACCGAGATGTGACGACGGGGCTTCTGAAACTGAACCTGGATCAGGCTGCATTAATCAAGTTTTTGGAAACTTCAGTTCAACTGTCGTAAACATGACAGCAATGTATCCTGGTGCTAAGGGATGCGCATCTGCTTTCCTTTTTACCAGGTTCTATTTCCGTGCAGATGACCCATTAGCCATCGGCAGTGGCATCAATATTGACACCACGCATGTCCCCACAACCCTCATCTGGGATTCAACTATTGCGCTGATGGAGGTCAGTTACTCGCTACCTTGGTTTTTTAAAGAATTACATTTTGACAAGTGCCTTTATTTCTTTGGGTTTTTTTAAATAATTGAAATTTTATTACTCAAAAAAGAAGAAAGTCTGCTATAATATAATTAACAACTAATCAATTTTTTGAGAGCTAAGCAGCAAAAACCACCTTGGACTCCCACTACCAACAATAAAATTAAGGAAAATTATGTCTTTAATACATAAACTATTAATTTTGTTCTATTTTAATACTTAAACTTTTATTTTTTTCAAAATCATACCTAAAGTTTAATTTTTTTTATTTCATTTTAGTACACACCTTAAAAACTTAAGTTTTTGTTTCATTTAGTACCCCGTTCAAAATTTTTAACAGTACGATATTAAAATGAAATAAAAACTAAACGTTAGGTATGATTTTGGAAAAATTAAAAGTTTAGATACTAAAATAGACTAAAATAAATAGTTTAGGTACTAAATATGTAGTTTATCCTAAAAACTATTTACTTACCAACCTCTTAAAGTATATTCCATTCAACAAAAGGATATTATTAGTGCATCCTTGTTTGAGTCCCACTATGGCTCAACCGAACGTAATCTTTAATTTCTCGAACCAAGTCAACAACACCCCTCCCCCATGCGCAAAGATTCTGTTGTTCCTCTCCCATCAAATATAATTGTGATAGATAAAAACATTCCAAGACAATTTTTAGCAAGGTAGAAAAGAAAGACTTATCCTTAAGTCGAGACATCACTCAATAAACCTCCTTGACGTCATATTCTAATGTATCTCGTCATATGACATGACAAGCGTCGTAATTATCAAATAGATAAATCTTTTTTTTAATATAAGTAAGCTATAAACGCAAAATAAAAAAGGAGTTGATCTATATGGATTCAAAAAATTTTAATTTCGAATTGATTTGATCTTGATTAGGAAGAATTGAAAACAATAAAAATAGAAAGAGGATTTAGAACAATTAAATAAATTGAATAAAAATAAAATAAAATAGTAAAAGCAAGAAAAATTAATTATAAAAAAATTAATTACGATGAGATATAGCCTTCAGCTTCGCTTTGTCTCAATCTGTCTCGATCACTGAAATATATTTTACTTCGGATACTTGTCAGTTACAGTATATGATGCCCAACTCTTGTAACTTACTCTTTTCTCTAATGAACTAATTTCTCAAATCCAACCTTGGAATCTAGCTCTTATTTGGATTAACAACATCTATCGTTGTTAACGTCAATGCTGGTTCAGGAGCTGAAAAAATCCGTGCTCAGATTATGGTGTTTCAATGAGAATCGAACGCAATCTTGATTTTTCTTGGCGGACCATTGCCAAGTTTGTTCTTTGCTACAAGCCGATTCTCCTCCCCAACTATAGATCAAAACGTCGATCAAGCCAATTCTGCACTTTGGACTAAAGTTATTAAGTTGTTTAAAGAAAGGCCGATTGACTCTCCTTGCCTGCCAAAAATCAAGAAAGATATCTGAAGATATGAAACGATTCTGTAATTCTCACGGGATCGAATTGAGTCGCATCTTAGCTATCCGCTAAGTAAAAGTTTAACCAAGTATGATAGAATTCATACTTGACGTATGGAAGAGATAAAACATAAAGAAGAAAATTATTTTATTGAACTAAAAAACTAAAACAAAGAAAAAACCAAAATCAGTACTATATTGAATTTTGAACTTGTCCTCTCAAGCTTCACCCCTAGAGGGTATTTATAGTTTTGAGATAACACTATTAAGAATAAAATACTAACTCTCAAGAAAATTAAACACTTAATTCCTAATTAATAGTAAACTAAAAATCTTAATAAATAATTAAAATCCTAAGTAAACTAGAATCCTAATCAATTAAAAAATAAAATCTATAATGTTTGAATTTAATTACAATTGTTTAATTCCTAAAGAACTATGGTTCGCCTTGCTTTTCTCCTTTGATCTTGCTGATTGGATTATTTAATTAGAGTTGGCTCTTGGATTGATCTTCTAATTAGAGTTGGCGACGACTACTCCCAGAAAATAGGAGACATCTGCTTTAATTCGCTCTTTGGTTGTTGTTTTCTGGAAAGTAGAGTCATGCACAGAATCTAACGTAAATAACCCAAATTAACATTATAAAAAATTAATTTATAACAAAATATTAACCAAATAAAACACTCATCAAATTCCCCTTCACTTATTCAATGTTTGTCCTCAAGCATTCCTTAATCAATTATTAAAATATCAAATTATCAATCTTTCATAACATAATATATCAAGGAAAACCAATCAAGTCAACAATCACTTCAATCATCTGAAACAAGGTAACAAATAAACAATAGGCACAAGTTTAGATAAAAGCCAAGACATCTCAATAATTCATCAGTTTCAATGTAACAAGACTTAATACCTCACAAGAATTCACTCATTATCACTCAAAGTGTTTAGGGTAAAAGAAATCGCTCAAATCCAGGATCATTAAAAACATTACCATATGCTTGTAAGAAAATCAAATCTCCACCACTAGAATGAACAAGATGCATTTAATCAAAGGTTCTTTAATCAGATTGTAACGGGGCTTAGTTTAGGGTAGAGATAAGGCCGAAAAAATTAGGTTTAGATGTCAAGACAAGAGATGTAAAATATATGAGTTTCAACCTACGGTTTCAACAATGTAAGCACACTCGAAGAAACATAATCAAACAATCAAAATTTTCCTTCTTTATTCATTTTCTTTTTCAATTTTTTTGCTATTTTTTTAACTATTTTTTTGTTCTCTTCAAACACTTTGTTCGAATCGATTTTTTTGGAATGCTTCTTTCTTCTCTTGATTTTTCGTTCGTGGAACTAATCTATATCTTGTCTCGACAAGGGTGACAAAAGAGGGAAAAAATAAAAATTGAAAGGCTTCGGGTTTTGTAATGTGGTAAAAACAAAGAAAAGGGTAAAGGCACAAAGTTGAATTACTAGTTGGTATAAATGGGTAGGAAATTTGGGTAGTGATGTGGATTAATCCTAAGTGCCCTAATCATCTTAAAGCATCAAGTTCAATGTGTGGTCTCGATATGCACTTAATCAGAAGTTCTAGAATGTCGAAATTAATTCGGCACACTTAGTCAAACAAACGAGCAAGAATGAACAAGTATGCTCGTTTAGGCTTAAATCTCACAAGAAGGTGTATTGTGTATTGAATCAAGAAACATATCAACCAACAGATTCATGGAACATCAAACATAAATTTTTCAAGAAAAATACTAATCATGCCATTTTTACTATCATGCACTCTAAATTTGATAAAAGTGTGATCACGAACTCATAAGGTAATCAATGAAACAAAACAAGATTCAAGATTAATAACAAGGGATTTCAACAAATAAACCAAGGCTACTCAATTTCAAGTATGTAAATAAGCTAGCGATAATTTGATGCAAGTGTTCTCTACCCTCACTTAAAGCATATTGTCCCAATATGTAAAATTAAAGCATAGGAGAAGGAATAAAGATATTCCCATGTTTAGTGAAGGTCGTGGCTATGACCTCGACGAGAGTTAGTCGGGTGAAGATAGGATAAAATCTCAGCAAGAGTGAACTCGAGGGAGTTGATACGATCATGCATCTCGTTAAGTTGATGTTGTATGTTCGACCGCGGATCATCTGTCGGCGTAGGTGGTGGTTTATGTCTTCGAAGAAAGACACGCTCACTGCAAGGTGTCGTGGTGCCGAAAGGTACAATGAAAGATGCATCGAGTGTGCTGACAAGTAATCTCATTGTGTCCAAGCATCGCAAATCTAAACTTTTCATAGAAAAAGCATAAGTAAATTGTTCAAAATTAAAAGATGATAGGAAAAGTCTATATGCGAGATGAGTGATGTAAGGGCCGAGAATCAGTGGTTATTTAGAGCGTACAACGCGCTCGAAAGCTCGTGCAAACCAAAAATCCTAGGTTAACTTCAGTTTCGATAAGCATGCACCAAGGGATGAATAGTTCAACTTTGCTCAAGCTAGATGTATTGTTGTTATACCTTGAGTAGTTGAATACAAGAAACTAGTAAATGTATCGGAGTACGAGATCATAGATGTGCCATCCTTTCCCCGTTTGTAAATTGAAGATTTTTCCTAATGAATCGGACAATATAGAGTAGGCGTAGTCGGTGTCAAAATCCTGTGAAATCTCAAGCAAAGATGTCAAATAGCTTTGGTCTGTGACATCTGTCATGAACCCCATGATAAAATTAAATTTAAAAATTGACATCCTAAAGTCTGTCATACCAATTCATAGTACATTCCACATTTAATTTCAAGATATAAAATCCAGCCAATAGCATTCATATAGTGTGTAATGAATTTTCTCAAATTCAAAGTATCTAAAGTATGAATAAGAATGTACTTACAAACTTGTAAGTTTCGAAGTCGAATATCGATGAATCAAATTTGTTCATCATTGTCGATTTTGAAGTACCCTTGCAATTCTTCTTTAGGTGGTAAAGTAAGGTAATGTGATGATGATGCCAGTGAGGGTTGATGTTCTCGTGAATGTGAAGGACCAACATCGTTGTGTGGCCAAGAAGATTGAAAGAAGTTGGAATCGCTTGGTTTAAGATTGAATTCCAGAGCGGCGAATCTTTAACTTCTTGTTTTCACCATCTTGAAATTTTGCAGCAAAGAATTAAGATGAAAAAAAGAAAGAAAGATGGTGAACTACTAAATGGTGGCACGAGTGTTGATCGGCAAACGATGGTGATCGGCGATGTGGACATGGTGATGCGCAACGGTCGGCGATGGTGATGGTATCGAGTTTAGTAATTGACGATGGAGGGCTCGTGTAGATGAGAAAAGAAATCAAGAAAAAGGTTTAAAGGTTTTGAATGTTTAAAGAAAATAAGTGACGTGTGAGATTAAAAGAAGAAGAAATAAAGGGTTTAAATGGGGGAGAAAAAAGAGAGTTTAAGTTAGAGTAGGAGTTTAATTAATATAAGGGAATTAAAAGAAAAAAGGGTTTTGGTTGATTAAGGATTTTTGAAATGAAATGAAAAGAAATAAAATAACTAATAATAATAAAATTTAAAAAAAAGTGTTTAAAAAGATTTGATTGTTTTGGCTAAAAAGGTGGTAAAAAAATGTTAGAATTTGTGGTAATTAGAGGGTGGACGGTAAAAGGGTATTAGTAGGGTAGGGTTTTGCTAACCTGCACCTTGGGTGCTAACGTGCGTCGTCAATGCTAACGTGTGTCGTTGTGGTGTTTCGCGTGAGATATGATCAAATTCATCGGATTTGCTTCAACTTTTAACTTGATCAAAGTATTTGGGGTACCTAAAAAAATTCAAACAAAAATAAATAATTATGGAACAAATAAAATTGAAAATAAATTCAAAACAAAAATCAAATTAAATGGGTTGCTTCCCATTAAGCGCTTTATTTAACGTCGTTTAGCTCAACGACCTGGTTCAGACTACAGGTACTACGAGAGATGCTTCCTCTACTTCATATGCTCTTCCCAATTGAGAAATTCCTTATGAGAAATTCTACAATCATAGAATTTTTCCTTTTATCCTTATAGATTTTGTCATTCTCATGGGCTTTTCTTCGAATCTTTTTAATTTTGAAAGTTTATCCAAAATCGATAAATTATCTACTTCACCCAAAAATGTGTTCTTTAAATGTTCCAGAAGAGATTTTAATTCCAAATTTAATGCTTTCAAAATAGAAGAAAAAACATTAGATTGAGAAGGCATAAAATTTAAATTCTTATTTAGTTATTCGTTACATGTCTACGAGTCCACGTTATAAGCGATATCAGTTCCAACCATCGAATTCCTGTACAAATCATCAAAAAGATTATGTTCAACATATTAATTTACGGAAGGTTTAATTATATCGACAAAGTTAACATTAGCCATAGAGTCATGATGCTTCATCGCTTTGCAAACATCAAATTTTACCACTTCACCGTCAAACTCAATTGTAGGATTTCCACTTCTCATGTCGATTTTGGTGTGTGTCGTACTTAGGAAGGCAACCAAGAAGGATTTCAGAGAAAGAATTGGTTCGGTCATTTTCCATGTTAATTACATAGAATTCTACCGGAAAAATCAGTTCATTTACCTTAACCAAAACATTTTTAAGAAATCATTCAGGGTAAATGACGGTTCTATATGTGAGCTGGTTAGTTACTCTCGTTTCCTTTAATGGCTTTGCACTAGGTAAATTGTAAGTGAAAAGTGACATAACATTTATAGAAGCATCAAGATCACATATAGCACGTTTAATTCCTACCTTACCAATTTTGCACGGTATATCAAACATATGTTGGTCCTTTAGTTTAGGTAGAAGTCTACGTTGAAAAACAACTGAGACATTCTCTTCTAAATTTACCTTTTTCATTGCTCGTAAGTCTCCTTTTGTTTGTGAAAAGATCTTTAAAAAATCTAGCATAACGTGACACTTTTTGGATTACTTCAAGAAGCGGTATATTAATTTTTACCTTTCAAAAAACATCAAGAATATTCTTTTCATCGGCTTGTTTTTCGTGTTTTACTAACCTCGAGGGGAAGGGAGATGGCATGGCATAGGGAGATATTGTAGGATGATTTGGCATTGAATCTTTCTTTTTCCTCTGGGTTATGTGTTAATTTTCTCTTTTTCATCCTGAAAGTTTTCTTTTGTTTCTTTTTCTTTCTCTTTTGCATCATCATCTTCTTGATTTCTCTGAGATCTTGGTTCTTTTTTTTCTTTTTCTTTATTGGATTCTGCGATATTTTCTTTAGGGATTGGTACAATTACGGTGCCACTCTGAAAGGTGATGACACTGACGTTTTCTCGTGGGTTTGCCTCAGTTTGATATGGTAGTTTTCTCTGTGATTCCATACGTCCCACGATTTGAGCCAACTGACTCATTTTTATCTAATTCCTGTAAATGTTCTTCAGATCGATTTCAGAACTTCTCTTGAGACAGTGCCAATCACTTTTGGTCTGAAAGTCCATGTTATGGACAGCTAGCATAGAGTTTCTTGAATCGTTCCTAGTAGTCGTATAACGATTCTCCATTTGTTTGTTGTATTTCTAAGATTTTCCTTCTTAATTCACTCACTTTTGGTACAGGGAAAAACCTGTCAAGGAAAATACGAGTCATATCAGCCCATGTATTGACAAAATTATGAGGTAAATAGAATAACAAATCTTTAGCTGAGTCGATTAAAGAAAAAGGGAAAGCGCGGAGTTTAATTTGATCATCAGATACTTTATGTGGTTTCATGCTAGAGTAAACCAGATAAAACTCAATAAGATGCTTGTGAGGACTTTCCCTAGGTAATCCATGGTAAGTAGGTACAAGATGGATCAAACCTATTTTTAACTTAAACGGTGCTTCTCCATGAAGGAATCCGATGCATAATGGTTGCTGTTCGGCATGTGCTACAACTAATTCTCATATTGTCTGTTGATCCATTGGAATCAGTTCTTCGAAGTCTTCTTTGGCTTCAGAGAAAGTCTCGGTGTCAAAGGTTTTTTTCGATTTAGGTTTTGGATTTGATTTGGATCGTTGTTGTTCTTGTTGTTACTGTCACCTTTCTTGTAGTGTACGTGTGCGTATTTTTCGAGCTAATGTTTCGATCTTAGGTATCCAATCTACTAATTCGCCTGAATTTTTCTGGTCATAAATCAAAACAAATTATAATTAGTAAATTTGTTGTGATCCCCGACAATGGTGCCAATTTTACAAGTGTCATAATTGTCAAATAAATAAGTCATTTTTCTCAAATAAGTAAGCTATAAACGTATAATAGAAAAGAAAGGCTCGGTCCATAGGGATTTAGAAAATTCTAATTTCGAATTGGTTTGATCTTGATCATGAAGAATTTAATACAGTAAAAATAGAAAAGGGGGTTTAGAACAATTGAATAAATTGAATAAAATAAAATAAAACAGTAAATGCAAGAAAAATAAATTGTAGAAAATTAATTATGATGAGAGATGGTCTCCAACTTCGTTGCCTCAATATGTCTCGATCACTGAAATATGTTTTACTTTGGATAATTGTCGGTTACAGTCTACAAAGTCCAACCATTGTAACTTACTCTTCTCTCTGATGATCTAATTTCCAAAAGCCAATCCTTGGAATCTGGCCCTTATTTGGATTAACAGTGGCTATCGATGTTAACGCCAATGTTGGTTCAGGAACTGGAAAAGTTTGTGCTCGGATTATGGTGTCTAAATGAGAATCGAACTCGATCTTGATTTCCCTTAGCGGAGTGCCGCTAAGTTTGTTCTTAGGGAATTGAATTTTCTATAAATCAATTCTCCTCCCTAACTGTAGATCAAAACGTCAATCAAGCCAATTGCGCACTTTGGACTGAATATTAAGATGATTAAAGAAAGATCAATTGCCTCTACTTGTTTGCCTAAAATCAAGAAACATATATGAAGATATGAAACGATTATACAATTCTCAGAGATCGAATTGAGTCGTAGCTTAGCTATTTGCTAAGTAAAAGTTTAGCCAAGTATTATAGAATTCATACTTGAAGGTGGAAGAGAGAAAACATGAAGGATAAAATTATTTTATTGAAATAAAATCCTAAAACAAAGCAAAAGCCAAAATCAATACCATACTGAATTTTGAACTTGTCATCTCAAGTTCCACCCCTAGAGGATATTTATAGCTTTGAGATAATCCTAATGAGAATAAAATATTCACTCTCAAGAAAATTAAAACACTTAATTCCTAATTAATAGTAAACTAAAAATCCTAATAATAAATAATTAAAATCCTTACCAAACTAGAATCCTAATTAATTAAATAATAAAATATAGAATGTTTGAATTTAATTACAACTTTTTAATTCCTAAAGAACTGTAGTTCGTCTTGCTTTTCTCCTTTGATCTTGCTAACTGGATTATTTAATTAGAGTTGGCGCCTAGATTAGTCTTCTACCACTACTCCTAGAAAACAGGATAAATCTGTTTTAATTCGCTTTATAATTGTTATTTTTTGAAAAGTAGAGTCCTACGCATAATCTAATATAAATAACTTAAATTAACACTATAAAAAGATAACCCAAATTAATTGATAATAAAATATTAACCAAATAAAACAGTTATCACGACACAACCTCAACACCTTCTCCAAACCTCTTTATTGAAATCATAGCTAAAAAAAATGATTCCTTGATTTCATCTCCTCGGACAGAAACAACAGCTGTCATCATCTTCAATCCCCCATTCTAATGGATGACTCTTAGTCGAAAGTCTATCCAACATCGGAAGCCAAGTAACAATGGCGTTCCCAGGCACGTGAAAAGAAATCAGTTAGATTTCTTTGGTATTTTACTTTCCAATTTTATATCATTATAAATTTTTATTTTACTGAAAGAATGAATGTACATAAATAGGATTTTAAGGGGTGTTAACTTGGTGCAATTTACTCCGTTTTGCTAAGGACGCAGGTTGCGAACCAGGACCAAGACTAGGACCGATCATCTTAAACAGTGAAATCCAATGTGGGAACGTTACGTTTCAATACCCATTTGAAATAAAAGACCAACATTATCCCAATGGTAGCTGGTTTAGATTCATCTGCAAGAAAACAACCAATGGGGGGTCAATGCCTTTCTTAAACATAAATGGCATGGACCTGCGGATACTAGACTTTAATTTTTTGTCCGGCAACGTTGTGGTGAACCATACAATATCTTATTTCAATTGTCGCAATAGCAAGAACAATGGAATGAGTCTTAACCTCACAGCCACCCCCTTTTACTACTCAGATTTCGACAACATAATTTGGTCTGCAGGTTGCGGTAATTTGGTGACTGTTTTCGGCAATGAAACGAGTAATTTTATAGGTGGCTGTTTGCAACCAAGCTGTAGGAATGGCGATGAGGCTTCCTCTGCTACTGGCTGCCCTACTAAAGTTCCTCAGGGTCTCACTTCTTTCTTTGTAAACATGAGTGGAAGGGTTGATTCTAGTGATTATAGCAGGAGAAGATCTTGTGGATTTGCTTCCATAGTCGGATCAAATGTTTACTACGATTTGACCTCTGAGGCACAAGGTTTTGATTTAAGTAATTGGACGTATGTTCCAATATCTCTGCAATGGAGCACGCCGATAACAGGAGCGTGCCATTTGAAGCAAGGTTTAAGCACTACTTGTAGCCGTGATCGTGAATATTGCTGGCAAAGTTTGGGCTCTACTCATCTCTGTGTATGCAACAAGGGTTACGATATCGGGGATTTTTCGAGGTTATGCAAAGGTACAATTTAACATATCGTTTCAATAACAAATCTGCTTATATATATATTTTTAAAAGCTGCCTGCTTATATCTTATTCACATTAATTTAACCTTTTTTATTCCTTTATTAAACGTCAGGAAAGAATTGCGGGGCTTATATTTGGTGTCACATGCTTTGTTTGAATACTCCTGGTAATTATTGTTCACCACGGGACTGCCCCCTTGGATATGAATACAATACCACCGCATTTAGTTGTGAACCCAGAAGATTTACTTCACTAGTACCACCACATAATACTCGGAACTGGACAAGCATCATTATAGGTATGACTTGAATTCATTCATTCATTCTTTTCTACATATGGAAGCATTACGATTTATAAAATCAAAAGTTCAAGCACTGACGTATTTCATTTGAATGCATGCAAATGAAAATTCTTTCATTGTATTCAAATGAATCTTCATCAACTATGAAATACTCTTTTTGTTTTTGTCACGTCTCTGTGAAGAAGATATAAGCAAAACTGCATTGAAATATATTTATGGTTGGCTTATAAAACTATGTTTCTTATTGTATATGGGTTGCAGCACTAGTATTGGGACAATATGTCTGCTACTTGTAATATGGCTAATTTACAAAGTGGTGAAAAGAAGAAACGCCATCATGTTGAGGCAGAAATATTTCAAAAAGAATGGAGGTCTGTTACTGCAACTACATTTGTCCACCAATAAAAGTAATTTTGAAAAAGTAAAATTGTTTACTTCGAATGAGATGGAAAAGGCGACGGATTACTATAATGATAATCGAATCCTTGGTCAAGGAGGCCAGGGAACTGTTTATAAAGGAATGTTAACAGATGGGAGTATAGTGGCTATTAAGAAATCTAAAGTGGTGAAGGGACAGAAATTTGATGAAAAGAAGGTTGAACAGTTCATCAATGAGGTAATAATTTTATGTCAAATCAACCATAGGAATGTGGTTAAGCTTTTAGGATGTTGTTTAGAGGATGAAGTCCCTTTGCTGGTGTTTGAGTTCATCCCAAATGGAACACTGTATGATCTCATTCATCACCAAAATGACGAATTTCCAGTGACATGGGAAATGCGTTTACGGATTGCAATTGATATTGCAAATGCTTTGTTCTATTTGCATTCAGCTGCTTCTGTTCCTATTTTTCATCGAGACATCAAATCAAGCAACATACTTTTGGATGATAAGTACCGGGCGAAAGTGTCAGATTTCGGAACTTCGAGATCTATTACACTTGAACAAACTCATTTAACTACTCGAGTGCAAGGAACTTTTGGTTACATGGATCCAGAGTACTTTCGATCAAGTCAATTTACAGAGAAAAGTGACGTGTACAGTTTCGGAGTAGTCCTTGTTGAACTTTTAACAGGACAAAAACCAATCTCGAAACAAACTGAGGAAGTGAGAAGCTTGGTGGCGTGCTTTCTACTTTCAATGCAGGAGAGTTCGTTATTTGACATTCTGGATTCAATTGTACAAAATGATGGTCCAGAAAAAGAAATTACAGCAGTGGCTAAACTAGCAAAAAGATGCTCGAACCTTGATGGAAAGAGAAGACCCACCATGAAACAAGTAGCAATGGAGCTGGAGCTGATACAAGCATCGGAAGAATATAATGTTATTGAACGAAGTGGTGATGAAGAATCTGAAGTAGATGAGATTATAGAATCCTGGGATGATCTTCCTTCTTCTTCAACCACTAGATCAATTATAACTGACAGTGTAACTTTGCCATTAAATGCATCCTTTTAGTTTTCAACACTTTAAGTTACTTTTCTGTTGTTATGCACTCTGTTTAATAAATGTATCCAACGTTTCTTCATATTTGTTTAAATTATCATTCCTTTAAATCATATTTGGTCTTGATAATTTTTCTTACTTACCTCTTATTGATATTCTGAGGATTTTCTCTCTAACTGCATTTCACTTCATAATATGTTTTTCGGATTTATTATTATATGCTTTTATTACGGACAAAATTGCTTGGATGGAGTATGATAATAGGATAGAATTATTTTCTCAGCTAGGGTGGTATAAACCATACATGGTGGAAAAACAGAGGATGCATAGCGTATTTGAAGATACGCCTGGAAGACAATGCTGCTTCTTCTTTGTTTATCTAAAATTCCAACAGCGGAATTATGGGGAAAATGCATTATCTAGACATCTTCCCAAAGATACTATACACTCCCTACATATTTAACCATACACTATTCATACCATCTGAGAAAATAATTTTTCAACATTTCATACGAGCTTATTTTTTCCACCACAATATCCAAGTAATTTTGTCTATAAAAATTTTGTTATAAATAGGAACATTAAACATTTTAAATTTTAATTCTTAATACAAATTTTGCATACACGTCCTCTTTTACGATATGTGAATTTCAATTAAAATTTCATTTAAAACACTTAACGGTCATTTAAATTATTGAATGACCTGATTGATAAAAATTGAAAACTAGTAGTAAAAAATGAATAAGGACTATAGTTAGGTGATCACTAATATAGTTTAACCAAAAATTAAATAATGATGCAGATTTGATAGCTATATACATCACGGGAAATCTATTATTAAATAATTATATTTGTTCGTCCCATTAATTTACAAGTAATCATCATAACTTTCGATTTAATATCAACTCTAAGAAAGAAAGAATCATTATGTGAACTCCTTCAGTAAGATTAAGAAGAAAATGTTATCTCTCTCTCTCCACCACATATCACTTAGGAGGTGTTTGGTTCGTGAAAAAAATCATTATCAAGGGAATAATCTTATCCAGAATCACATTCTCATGTTTGGTTTAGGAGCATTCCCTCTATGGGATAATAACACATTATCTACAATAGTATTTTTAAGTTTTTTCGGGAATGTCTTTCCCATTGTTTTCTTAGATAGTAGTCAATTTTTACCACTTAGGACAAAAATGCCCTTGAAACGATGTGGTTATTTAAAAATGATTATTCCTTTGTGCATACATGCATTGATATAAATTTATTTTATTTCTTTTGCTTTGTTATCGTGGTTCTAAAATTTTAATACTTATTATAAAATATTACGATGCATACATTAAAAAAAATAAAAAATACTAAATTTATGTTTTTGTTTTTTAAGTATTTATTATATATGTGTTTGATTCAAGTTTTATTTTTATATGTATTTTATTGCGATTATTTGTTATTATTAATTTTCATAAAAGGTTTTCTATATTATAATTTTTTATGTTTTCTATTAATTTTGTCAAATAAGTTGATATAATATTTCGTTGTACAACTCATGCATATAGCATGAATAAAATAAAAATGTGTAACAATAACAAATATTTACATCGGTCTAAGCATGTACATTTCTCAACATCTTAGCAATTAACATATATTTACACCGGTGTAAGTATATACATCTCTCAATATCTTAGTACCTAAAAATAAACACATAATTATATTGGTGTAAGTATGTTTTTGTATTTTCAAAAAAATAAAAAAATATTAAGTTATTTTTGCACAAATTTTATTGGAATATATATATATATATATATATATATATATATATATTAAAGAATATAAAATTATATTTCATTTATATTTTATATTCTTTCAACCGAACATTATTATATTACATCCTTGCCAAATAAACCATATAAGGTAATACAATATTCTTTTTTTTATTCTCAATGATAATCTTATATCAGTGAACCAAATGACCTCTTATTTCTTCAGTTTACCACTCTCTTTGTTCCCTTAATTTTGTTATAAATAGGGACATTAAACATTTTAAATTTTATTTCTTAATACAGATTTTGCTATTAGATGTAGCACTTGGGCTATAGACGTTGTTTGGACCCCTCAAGAATGCAATAAACTAGCAGACTATCTTGTCAGAACTGCTACGCCTCATTCCCTGGAGTGATTTTCCTATCCCTCCCTTCAGCTGAAGTGATCTCTCTGTTGGAACAAGACTCTGTTGCTGTTCTTTTTTACAAAAGTTTTGTAGCTTCCACTTTTCAATTAAAAAAATAATAAATTATGAATGAATTTAAGGATTTATAAATCAGATTATTAATTTTATATGAAAGTAGGGATGGTTATTAAACAAAAGTCAATTTAAACACCAAGATCTGTCTGTAATATTCAAGTATTTTAATATTTACTGAAATATCATACAGTTATCATTTTTTTTAATTAGAACTGAAAGTGCAACTTTGCCAATAAATGCATCCTTTTAATTTTCAAACACATGTAACTTATTTTCCTATTGTTTATGCATTCTCTTTATAATAAATATATACTACGATTCTTCCTATGTACTTAAAGATAACTTTTAACCGTCTAATACAATAAATGCTCACATCTATTATATTTTAAGTGTTTAAATTCGGTATTTCAAAGAATAATAATAATTCATTTACCATTGAAATTATTTTATTCGTATAACATTTTAAAATTTAATTATTAATACAAATATTATTGACATGATATTTTCATACGTAATCAATTAATGACATTATATTATTTCTGCGGGTGCAAAGAGTCTCTCTTTCCCTTTTCCAATTAGATTAGATTGGTAAAAAAAAAATTAAGATTTAGTTAGATACTATTCCATGAGTCTTATACACTTGTTTTAGAGCGCCTAACGTTAAGCAAAACTCGACTCGAAAAAATTTAAAATAAAGTTTGAGTTATAAAATAGAACTCGAATAACTTGAAATTTTTAGTAATTAGTGGATTAGTTTTCAAGTTCGAGTCGAGTCCTTCGACTCTGCATGAGATATGTATATCTCATATGAAAAAATATAAAGAAATATATATGTATATTGTATATGATTATAAAAAGTTTTTTAAATTGGAATCTATTAGTACCATAACATTATAAATTCTTACAATTAAATTTAAATAAAAACTCGTCTCAAAAAATTTTCAATTAAAGTTCGAGCTATAAAATAGGAATTGTCAACTCAACTAAATCGAAAATTTTTAACTCGACTCGATCGAATAATCACCCTTACCTATAGCTTATTAGTTTATACAAATGGAACCATATTATCATATTTCCCCTTTGGTAAAAGAAAGAGCTTTTATGGTTCATATTTGCCACTGTAGTAAATACAACAGCACAGGAGCAACATTTATTATTTTGGATTATCATGAAATATTTGAGCAGTTTTGCTGATCTAGTAGTGTCATTTTCTCACTGAATATTGATTTTACAGGTTCCTGTCAATTATGTATGCCTCCACTGTGCAAAGCCGAGTCAGAGACCATTATCTATGGCAATCTCTACTGTCTCAATTCACATATTCGGTGATGTGCCTTTCTCACCACTTGTTGGAATTCTCCAGGTGAGTTCATTTACGCTGGAGCTTGTTAGGCACAGGTTTAGAGCGGTAAACTTGTTTATTTACATCGATATGCTGTTTCATGATTTGTATTTTTCTCTGAAAAATATAGATCTTTCAACTGTGAACACAATATTTCAAACTTCAAACTTCTTTCAGCCTATCTTTGCCTTGTTACCTGGGATATTTCTTAACACAACATTTATAGTTTGCCTTGTTGTGTATCTTCTATTTATAATCCCTCTTGTCGTACAAATACTTGATGCATGAATCTGAATATACTCGTATTTCTTTCAATTCGGGATCTTATGAATTATTACATGTCTATGCAACTTCAACCTGTCTATTTCTTTTTCCATGGACTCAATTTTTTATTGCATCATTGGCGGTTATGTTTTGGGCATGATCATATCACCAATTGGAGGAACACTGCACTTATTTTGACCACTATTTTCTTTCTTGCTGCTGGAATATGGGTTATAGGTGAGTAATAATAAGTTTTTAATAATGTTTTCCGGAAAGATCTGACAGGCCCGGCTCAATACATGTACCAGATAGGCCTTAGCCCAGGGCAACATGTTTGAGGGGCATCAGTTTCAGCATTGTAAACCTGATCGTTGTGATGGTTGCTTCAAGGTATAGTTCTTCTTAATCTGCAAAGTTTTTTTAGCTCTGGGTTTCGTTTTGTTTGTAGACTTGTGTTTCTGGTTTGGAGTTGAGTCCTGTGTTTGGTTAGCTAGAAAATATAACAAATCCAGAAACTAGCCAGTATTGGCCCTGGCCATCTTTATTCTTATCTTACTGATAAATTTTTTACACATGTTGCGGAAGATCAAGCGTTGCAGTGGAGAAACTGGAGGGATATTTAACCAATTTGGACAAATTTCCCCCAGAAAAGAAGCTGATTTTCATGGAAGGAACCTGGAAAACAATCAAAATTACATCAATGAAGAGATGAATGGATTCAGTGCTAGAGCTGCAAGGAGTGCTTATGCTTATGCAGCAGCAATAGGAGGCCAAATGAACAACGTCAATGAGGTAAAAATGAAATTGTGTTTTGAATCAAATCAAACGCATTTCTTTTCTACTGGAACTCTTTTGATGTAATTTCATTTTTCTGGGTTTTTTTCTCTGGGGGGCAGACTGTGGAAGTGTTGGCTATTCACAAGAAGGGAAACTCGGTTGGCACTGGAAATTATGTGACGGAGTATGAATTTTTCCCTGAGCAAAATGACAAACACTCCACAAGATGATTCTTTGTCTCTGGGAGGTGAAGCTTCTCATGCTAATGCTTCTAATTGTGTTGATTTGTCACTCAAGCTTTCTTATTAGAAGCATATATATACAGGGAAACTGTTTGTTTTGGTTTTACTGTTACATTGATTTGGTGGTGTATGTGTAATTAGTGCCCTTTTG